TTGGATTAAGGTCTGGGCTTTGAGCAGGCCAAGGGAGTGAAGATATTAAATTTGCCTCTTTCCATTGAATTACTACACCAGCTGTATGAACAGGAGCATTGTCATCCTGAAATGTAAAAGAACCATCCCCCAGTCCATCAAGAAAGGGTAATAGATTATCTCTAAGAAGTTCTTGATAACCTTTACCGTTAATTTTACCATCGATTACCACCAAAGGTCCTAGACAATTATTAACAAAACAACCCCATACCATTACACCCCCTCCACCATGTTTAAACGTAGGTACAAGGCAATCAACATCATACTTTTCTTTCAGTAGACGCCAGACCCTTTGTCTACCATCACTTTGATGCAAAGTATATCTTGATTCGTCGCTCCAAATGATATAATTCCATTCTATGTTCCAATTTTTCCGTTCTTTGCACCATTTTAAACGTTTCTGACGATTTTTTCCTGAAACAAAAGGTTTCCTTAATGCGACCCGACTGTAATAACCTTCTTCATGAAGATAATTACGAACAGTTGCACTACAGATAGAAGTGGATAAAGATTCATTTACTGAATCAGTAATTTGCTCAATAGGTTTATTTCTATTTTTTTTAATAATTCTTTTTACTTGTCTAACATCACAATCATTTAAGGCTGAAGGTCTTCCATTCCTTGAAGCAATAGTAGTTTGATGTTCTTCTTTAAATGCTTTTATTGCACGAGTTACTTGCGACTGAGAATGATTGAGTGCACCAGCAATGTCACGGGTGCTTTCACCTGCTTCCCAACGCCCAATTATTCTTCCTCGTTCAAAGTCTGTTAATTGAGACATGGTGTTTTAATTGAAATAACAAATTGAAAGTTCAATCTTTTTTTTAAAAAAAAAAATCTAGTTTTGGTTGGATATTTCAGCCGCAATTACCCTTTAAAGTTTGTTCGCGCATAATGATAATCGTCTTGCATAAAAAATTATTTACGATTTTTTTTGCGTTTTGTATCAATTCTCTATGAATATTCCACCAATAATTATGAACATTCATATTTATATATTTGAGAACAAACGGAACAACATTTTCTAAGTTCCCAAGATGTGTTAAAACATTGTATCTTAAAATAGCTCTAAGTGCTACTTTTTCGAAAAATTTTCGAAAAATTTTAATTTGACTTTTAAACATCATAAAATTATCAATAACAATCAGGCCAATATGATCTTTTAGAATATTATAGGAATCATTTCTACGAATATTTTTTCATTAATACATAACATCGATTTGCTTAATAAAAAATCGAGTATTTGTATTACCAGTTTACCCGATTATTTTCGTGGATCATCAAGTGAGTCGATACTTTTTTTAGGGGTGTGTACATATACATAAGTATAAACATGTCAAATCTTGCAGAAGCTCAAATTTATGCTGAAAAACACGGAGGAAAAGTTCACATCCAAACTGGTCCTACAACTTTCTTATTTTCATGTAATAGAAATCATTTATGGGAGAGACCACTTGAAGTCATTAAGAAGAAATATGATTGGTGCCCTCTATGTCTGCATACACCAGAAAGAACTTGTCGATATATTTTTGAGGATCTGTTGGGAAAAGAATTTCCATCTCATTGGCCTAAATTCTTAAAAGGGCTACATTTAGATGGCTATAATGAGGAATTAAGTTTGGCTTTTGAATTCCAAGGCGTACAACATTTTGAGATAAATCCGTTATTCCATAAACGAGGACGGGCAGATCTTGATGAACAAAGGAACCGGGATCAAAAAAAGCGGGATCTATGCAAACAGGAGGGTATATGTCTCATCTCAATACCATATTTAGTGGATATTGAATCTTTTATACGAGAAGCTTTAATCAAGAACAGCTACCTCCAAGACTCTTCCAATTGATAATGATGTATTTCGAGGACAATAATGATATTTCTGGATAAATTTGTCTGGTGGGTACTCTAGATTTTCCATATCTATGATTTGCAATTCTTCCCTCTTGAATGGTCTACGTGGATTTCTACCCATTAAATGTCTTGTAAATTCAACCGCTTCCTTTTCAAGATAATATAAGACTGGCTGTGGAGGATTTTTTCCAACAACAATTTTTCTGATTCGATAAACATGTAAACTCCAGTATGGATCAGTTATATGACATCTGTGACCCCCTTCCAATTCTCCGGGTTTAAATAAATATCAAACAGAAGTACCCTTTGGTAGTGTTATCTCATCTTCTCCAACTGGCCTCTTGGGTTTTATAGAAGGTTTAGATATTACTTTTTCCAACGTCATAGCATGGGAAGGAGTCATTCCGATTAATCGTGTTGGAGTATGATTCATATTATCAAAAATTACTTCGAGAATT